AATTCCAGTCATCGGATTAATTTTATCTAGTATAGTTTTTGCTGTACAGAAAATTAATTTTGATACACTAATAATTGCTCTAGAAATGTCCTGTCTTCGGGAGAATAATCAGGATCATATACTTTAAATTGGCTTTAAATAGATTAATTTTATCATGATTAGTTTAGGAATTATTAAGGTTTTTACCAGTCAATATTGTTACTGTGCTTTTTCTATGACTAAATCTAATGTATTTTCAATGGAAAAACCTCTTTTTTGTAAACTCAAATGGCGCAGTTACCATGGTAGATTTCTACACCAAATAAAATTTTTTTACAAACCGAGAAGTTGGGGCTATAAAACTGTGAAGAGAGGATTAGGATTGGATTATCCGTTTTAGCGTAGGAAATTTCAAGCCCATAAAGTTAACTAATTCCACGATTGTATATACAGTACATACATACATACACATGTAACGTCATTTTGAAAATAAATGTTATATTATATTATAGTAAGTACTAAGTTATATATAAAAAATTATTTAATACATTTATATTAATGTTAATCAAATATTAATTTTTTAATCTAAAAAATTATATGTAGTTAACAACGAAAATAAAATAATTTCAGAATAAAATAATGCTATCAAGTTTTACTTAAAACCTTTTTATGTGCCATGTATATATATTATAAAATTAATGGAAAAGTTTGCACCTATTTATCTCATTTTACATCATATATATATATATATATTTTACAATTTTACTTTCAAATCACGTATTGTATTTTAAAATATATCATATATTAATACTTATAATATTTAGTATACTGTACAGTATATGATGAAATACTGCACCCAAATAAAATTGTAATACTTGTGGGAATACCTGTAATATAGTGGATGTACCTAAGCATGTGAAAACAGTATTGTCATTGAAATATACTTAATTATTGAATCATGTGTTTTCACTATTTATAAAATAATACTTAACAGAAAAATATATTTTTAAAACTCTAGCAAATAGAGTGAGTGTAATATTAAGGCAATTTTATCTAGATTACACATATGTATTACTATGATGGCTAAACAATATATAAGGTAAGTGGTATTAATTAATATAGCTATCATAAATTGTTAACTTATTAAATTATCTTAATTTATAGTGCAGACGAAAATGTTCAAGATTCAAAATGTGATAAATTATTAGTGAATTCCAACAATAATAAAAATAATAATAATACTAAATTAGCGACACCATTTAAATGGCAAGCAATACCTGGTTTCGGTATAGTATGCTCACTATTGTGTAAGTTTTTAATATTTTTAAAATTCTATTTCTAAATATACTTGTTTATTTTTTATTATAGCCGTTACCCTGAACTCACTGGCGGCGCTTATAGTGAAATTAACCCCAGATTTACATTCAATTGAGATATTGTTTTTCAGGTAATATTCTAGTAATAGTAACAATTAGTAATAATTTTCAATTATAATGAAATAAATGTTTATATTTTTTTATAAACTGTAATAGTTCATATCGCCATTTGACTGCACTTTTAATACCTTGTTAATTTGTATATATAATACGAAAAAATTACTAACTTATCACTTGAATATAATTTTTATTTATATATTTATTTTCACTATCACTTGCTAGTAATCATAATAACTAATTAAACTAAAATTAATTTCAAATTATTTTCAGAGGCTTAATCCAATTCATTGTCTACTTCATCATAATATTAACACAAAAGTACCATATTTTTGGTAAACCGGAAGGTCGAAAGAACCTGGTCCTGCGTTGCCTATTTGGCACCACCGTTATTGTGTGCATCTACTCGTCCTACCCATTGCAGCCCCTATCGGACACCGTAACCATATTTATGTCAACACCGGTATTTTGTACCATATTTGCCTACATATTACTTAAGGAACCGATAACACCTCTACACGTGGGAACGGGAGTTACTATACTGGTGGGAGTGGTATTAACGAGTAGACCTGAGTTTTTGTTTGGTCAAAAGGACCCTGACAAGCTTTACCCACATAGAACAGTTGGCATCGTACTGTCCATTGCAGCTGCCATTGCCTCGGCTATGGTACTTATAATACTACGGAAACTAAAGCGCACACCCCTACCAATAGTGGTCACGTGGTTCTCATTTTCAATAATAATAGTGTCCAGCATTTTATTGCCCTTAGTCAATAAATGGGTATTGCCCACTGGTATATTTACCTGGTCAATGATATTGGCCCAAGGTGCATGTGGGGTATTAAATCAGTTTTTTATTACCCTGGCGAGTAAATACGAAACTACAGGTCCTTTATCGTTGACTAGAGGTTTGAATATTATATTGGCGTTTGTATGGGAAGTGACGGTGTTTTCGCTGCCAATCCTATGGACATCGATAGTAGGTGCCGGGTTAATTATGTTGGCACTGATAGTACTATCGGTTAATAGTATTTATAAGGAAAATAGTCACAAATTACTTAAAATAAAGGAGTCTGAAAATATTAACCCAATTGAGTTAATTGTAAAAACATAATTTAAGTAACTATGTGATTTGGTTAAATTATATGAACTATTTTATAACTTTATTGATTATATTTTAATATTGTCATTAATAATAATTTGTGTAATTTTATTACATTACCCAATAAAAGCAATTTATTTTGTATTTTTATCCATATTTACGTAATATACAAAGTTGAGTTATATGATCACTTTTTATATGTTTATTGATNTTATATTTTAATATTGTCATTAATAATAATTTGTGTAATTTTATTACATTACCCAATAAAAGCAATTTATTTTGTATTTTTATCCATATTTACGTAATATACAAAGTTGAGTTATATGATCACTTTTTATATGTTTATTGATTATCAATAAATATCCATAATTTATGATATCATAATTGATTCAATAATCGCTTAAATGTTAATGTGAGTTTCTATAGCATTGCTTGCAAACCTTGTTTAAATACAGTACTTAATAAATTATTCAATAGGCAGTATTATGATAACCTCAAATAGGCACTTTNCACTTTTTATATGTTTATTGATTATCAATAAATATCCATAATTTATGATATCATAATTGATTCAATAATCGCTTAAATGTTAATGTGAGTTTCTATAGCATTGCTTGCAAACCTTGTTTAAATACAGTACTTAATAAATTATTCAATAGGCAGTATTATGATAACCTCAAATAGGCACTTTCCGCTACAATACAGTACATAATAAAGTCCTTGATATTTATAAAGGAATAATTAAACTATTTTGTGCTTATTCATTATAATGTTATTTTAAAATGCAGTGCAAAATTAATTGCGAGTATATTACATAGAGAATGACATTGCAACTTGCTAATTAAGCATTATTAACAATAAGTACTCAATCAGTTCGCTTATATAATATTAATATTATATTATTATATTATTGAAGTATACAATAAATATTATATATTATATTTTAACTGAAAATAAATATTGGATGCTAAAATTATTTTTATATTTTGTTTCAAAACAATTTTAATACAAAAATATTTACAATTAAATTGTGTAATTGAAAATTACTATAATCAACATAGTATACCATGGCTAAGAGGTTTAATATTATAATAAAAATTACAAAATATTTGATTAAAATTTTTTATATTGTTTTTAAAGGGTCCAAATAAATGATCAGCACGAGTTCATTGAACCATTTATAAATGAACATCCTAAAGCACCGGTAGTCAAAGTACCTATATCACAAAGGATACCCGGGTTTGGCATATTATGTGCTTTATTAGGTATGTGTGTATAGTAGATATGAATTAAAGTTTATTATATACTAGCTCATTTATCTTGTTGACAGCTACCACGGTGTTTGCCATTGTCTCATTAATATTCAAATTAATTAATTATATTCACGTGTTGGAATTAGTGATATTTGCGTAGGTCAAAATATATTTTAAATCTTTCTCTCTCTCTCTCTCTCTCTGAAAAATTTAGTTAAAAATAATATTATATTATTAAATTATTAAACCCACTAGGTCCATTGGACAACTTGTTGTCTACTTAATTACAACATTGGTCAAAAGGCAACCCCTACTTGGACAGCCAGGATTTCGATTTACCCTATTGCTTAGGTGTATATGTGGTACTATAGCTCTGGTGGCCATATGTATGGCCCAACGACTTATGCCTATCAGCGACGCCATTACGATAGCCATGACGTCGCCGGTATTCGTGACAATCATGGCGTTCATTGCATTTCGTGACCCAATCACATGCGTTCAAGTGAGCGCCTGTATGCTCACCATAGGTGGCGCCACAATCACTAGTAGACCTGAATTTATATTTGGGCCTAGGTCC